ATCTAGTGAACATTTCTGGTCTACCATGCAATGAGGCCATCATGTACAAACCTTCAAGTAACATTTGAGGCAAGTATAGGACTGTACATAACTACAACATGAGGCGACAAAAACTAGCAGTCAGTCATGTTCCTCATATTTACATCACCACTTCACTGCAGTACCATACAATGTAACAAAGCTAACTTAAAAAAGTACAAATAGAACCCCCCCAAAAAACTAATGTACATACATATTGTTATAAACACATGGAATCTGTGCCTCTGAGACACGCCTACTATTCACAAACAATTTATGAGTAGCAATCACTTTGATGTGGGAAATGAGACATGCACAGCGGATCAAAGGAAATACTGACCGGACTGGACTCAGAAAAAGGACTTGTGGAAAGTCCTAGGGAAAGGGCGGAAGATGGAAGTGGAAGAAATACGATGAATGAATCTATCCCAGCAACATCAGACACGGATGACACATTTGATGTCCTCACGTTTTTGGTCAACTAAGCATGGCCTCTGGTCAGATAAGGCTGCAAATCTACAGACAATTTAAGTCATCACTCATACAAACAGAATGAATGTCATTTTAATTTTGTAATAAATACTACCACAAACATCTTCAACAAAGTGATTCCTATCGATTCAAATACCTGTCTCACAAACAATAAAAAACAATTCTCCACAAGAAATCTTCAGAATAATTCGGCACTGCAACGACATGCAGGAATTTGATCACGCCATGGCCGGCACTGGCAATCGGTAGCAAATGCAAAGATGAAAAACTTGTCCAACATTATGAAAATATTACTCCAGCTAGTCTATTTTCTGTCTCTCTCACTTTAAGAAACAGGACTAATGTATAGATCTGCCCTGCACAGCACACATATTCCATAACTGTTAGTCCGTATGGGTTTACTATAACAAAGGATGGAAATTGCGTGGTTAGGGTAACAATATCTTGTGAGTACTGGTCCGTGAAGTTGTGGAAACAGGGTTTTACAGTTCATCTATTATATCTCTAGATCATTCAACAATCAGAACTTTTAACTGCTGAGAAATCTTCCTTTTTACTTTTCCACTTGATTGTTGGGAAATACAGTGTAGATTTTAAAATGTTAGCCTAACTTTCGTTTTCAAACTGTGACCGACACTGTGTACATAACAACCCTAAACAATACAACTGTAACTTCTACAGGTTTCAAAATGGTGCAGAACACCAACTTACCCCCCCCCTCTCAAAAAAAAAGAAGAAAGAAAACGAAAACCACCTCAGACTCACATTTTGGCAGTAGTAAAGTTCTAGTACACTTACTCTCACACTACACAGATATTACTTTGGCAGACTACATAGCATTCATCTATTTGCTTTTGATTTTACTGGTAACACCCGTAGATTTGTATGTTTCGAGTATTCATTGCAACACCAATACTAACTTTAATATCAGATGTTTACTCTCAGCATCTGCTGAGATTTCCGGCTTGAATTTTCAGAATGAATATTATGTACTTTGACTGGAACACAGGTAAGGTGTCGACTTGCAAATTTGACAAAACTGTAACAAAAATCTTGGGAAGAATTCATTTGTTCTTACAGACTTTAAGTTTTTAATACATGTCGACATTACAATTTCTGACAAAAGAAAAAATGAAACTATTCCTTGAACGATCTTTCAATTTTATAGTGACAATCAGATATATGCTGAAAGCAAACTGAGTGGTACAGGGCTTGTCATGGGAAAGAGTTGATCCAGATGTTGAAAATTTGACAGAATTTTGTGCTGAAAAGGACCTGACCACTGCATGCTCGAGTGAGGGTGGCGGTGGAACAGATTCTATCATTGTTTCTTCAAACCAGAGAGCACACTCTCTCTCTCTCAAACACACAAATATATACACAAATAACACTCACAAACAGTTGGCACACACACACATTCAAATACTGTATTGCCAACAGCTAAAACATAGGACTATACACACCAGACTCGCAAAGAGTGGACACACACAATCAAGAGCCTTATATTGCCAACAGCAAAAAACATTCTACTATACACACCAGACTGCAGGAAATACATTTTAACAAAATGTCCTAAAACACCATTGATAAAGCTGGCTCACAACAACTGGCTGGTCCCATCAAATCTACCAGAAGCACACGCACTCCAGTCAGAAAGAGCAGACACACAATCATTGTGAATGTGGATACATACAGAGAAATACTGGCCATTGCGACAAAATGAGACATAAATCAAAGTGCGAGAAATGCAACATTTGTTTATAAACAAACATCAAAGAGTATTCTGTACAAGAAACAGTGAACAGCTGACAGTGACAATTAAGTAATGCCCAAAATTGTTTGCCTGGGTCCATCTGTTCACCAAACACAAAGCAATAGAACATACTTTTCTAACTAGGTAATAAACAGTACATGACTAAGCAGACTCTAAGCCTGCATTACATGCAAAAAAACACTGATCTGTGTAGAACAGAGTGTCTGTCTTCAACAGCAATCTTACCGCAAAACATCTCATTTCTAACAGCACACCTTTCTCCGAGTACATGTATCAACATAAGAAAATAATAGAAAACAATGCAAAGCAGCTCATCCGCGAAGATGTAGTCAGTTATAGGCAGGAGAAAAAATTGCTTTGTAGAAACTTGAAAACAAACTGACGCGCCACAGTAATAAGCATTCCACCGTCCTCCCTGATCCTTTTCTGCTGTCTGCTCAAATACCAGATCAAACAGACTCTCTGAATCTTTAATGGGAACAAAACCATCTCAGCTTATTTGCATTAAACCAGGAGTCTCAAACACATGGTCCACAGGTCAATTGAGACTCACAGGACGATATGTTGCGGCCCCTACTTCACATCAAAGTTTAACTTTAGTGCGGCTCAAGCTGCTGGGTCAATTTTTGAGAGAATGTCCTCACCTTCCTTGAGCTTTCCAGGAAACACATTTTGACAAAATGTTCTAAAGCACCATTGATAAAGTAGCTCACAACAACTGGCTGGTCCCACGATGCTCATGCAGACCATGTAGTCTTTTTTTGTAGTGCGAAAAGCTCTTTTCACCATGAACTTTTAATACAGATTTAAACTTTCTAAGCAACTTCACGCCCTGCTAAGTTTTTACTAACTTTCTCCCTCAAGCCAAAAGTGGATGAGTTATGTAACAGGAAGCGCTGCCAGGTCTCTGGCACAAGGAGTAAATAACAGAAGCCTGTGTCCTGAAGAAGCATTGATGTTCTGAATTACTATTTACAAAGATTGAGAAGGTCCGACCAATACATCTAGTACTTTCAAAAAAAGCAACAACCCTTGAATCTTTTTTTGTTTGTTGGATACTTAATGCGGTCCAGGCTCCTCCATACTCTACCAGCAGCGGTCGGCAAGTAATTTGAGTTTGAAACCCCTGCTCTAAACAAAATGAGTATAGGCAAGCAAATTTTGCCTCAACAAGGAAACTTGGACCACCAGTCTCCGTAGTCAGGAAACCAAATCAACTGCTCAGTGGAAGACTCCATCATATGTCACTTTAACACTCATCCTGCCGATTGGCAATGTTTACTGCCCAGTTTCTTTGGATTTTCCCCAAAATATGATGGCAAAGTGTTAACAAAATGGCAGAGGGTGGAGTCTTGAACTAAGCAGTCGAAATTCAAAAATCACACGGTAAAAAGGCGGGCAACAATCGGCTACAGTATCAACCTCTGACCTCGTCAATAGAAAAAACTGGAATGTTACAGAACCTCTAATTTAATATTGCATCTGAGATACCGGTACATGAAGAAGCCTCGCTATCAATCAAGCAAATATCCTTTGTACTTCTTGAAGTTACTGGCTACTAGTTCGATGACAGGAAGCAAACTTTTTTCATTACTTTAAATAAATTTCTTTATCTACAATAACAAACCCTACAAAACGGATAAAAGGAGGAGCCTTTTTACACCCAAACATCATACCCATCAAAATGACGGGAAAAAAATCAATATCTTCAAGAGGGACTAGGACCACCTCCTAAAGATAAACAAAAGCACATCACCAACATTTGGCAAATAACAAGCACAGCATATACCATAAACTAAGTACAACAAAATGCAGTATCAACATTTTAAGTATCACGTCATTTTTTATTCTGAGGTCAGGGAGACTAGACAAAAAAGGGCCAGTTTAATTTCAAATACTGAAAATTCCGGGCGACACCAAAAAAAATCCCCCCCCCCCCCCTTGTAGTCTTCAATCCATACAAATAGTTTTTTCCCCCCCAAGACAGAAGCCTGTGCAGTTACATTCCACATCTATAAAGGATCTCTTTATATTACATATAATTTTAGTTTCAACGCCTCAATCAGCGTACAAACACAAGCAGAATACTAAATGAGTATGAGAACTGTGTCGACATTGAAAGGCGTTTTGCCCTGACTTACTCAAGTCCATAACTTTTAAATAGGGAGCAATAGAACACAAAAATTTTACATACATGAAATATCAAAAGCACCTTGTAAGGGAGCCACCAAATTATTTGGGGTCTTGTTCGTAAAGAGCTGAAACTGTTTCCAGAGACTGTCTCACTACATTTCGTTTATCAGGGCAAAAATGGCAAGGGAAGTTAAGAATACAAAGGACTCTTCATAACTATTCAAGAAAAGAGGTGATAATAATATACAGAACAAGAGCAATTTAAAAATCACCTGAGCCTGCATCTAAAAAATAGTACCTCTGAAAATATAAAATGAACACAGACATTGCAGAAGAATAAAGTTGAATAATCTCATGTCTAGAAATAAGAAATGCATTTTATAGTCTAAGTAAAAAGTTAGAACCAACACATTGAGACAATCTGGAATAGCAAGTTGAAACTTGCTGCAAGGAGCACCACAAAAGGGGAACAACATTGCAGTAGACAGGCTGCTACATCAGCAGGTCAGTGGTTTGTTTGTTTGAGTAAAGAGAAGCACATCGACACTATCACGGTCATTTAGTGTTGGGGGGAAAGTAAAGACTGACACTGACGGTAGAAACAACAGAGGGGAAGTAAAGAAGTAGGACCTACCAGTCATGCCCTCCAACCACCCATGATCAGGGGTCTAAATCTCATGAATATCTAGTCACAACGGAAAGGCCAGTGACTTTTTTGTGAAAAGCTAAAATCTTTAAACTGGAAAATCTGATTTGTGCCCATTTAAACAAAAGCTGAACGCTTCATTGCTAGAACACACAATGACCCTCTGCATCCAAATATTTTTAAAATCACTATAGTTAAAGAGTTCAAATGCATCTTTAAAAGAAACACTTTACTCCTTTTGCATGACAATGAAGGAACACTTCAATCTTCTGAAAGAACATCTCATCAGCTTTTATTTGATAGTCAAGCATTGATATGACCAGAGAAAGGGGCATTCTAGACCCCTGTGACCAGGAAGACATATAAATATTTTTGAGACTAACCAAACCTTCTTTCACATCCATCAACTAAGATGCCTATCAGTGTGTGGGAAATAAAAATACCATTCAACTCAAAAGCAGCCAGAGCATATTATATTCTATTCTACATCTTATGAAGTCTAGGAATATCTGTCAAAGTGGCACCCTAGTACTTAATACAAGTATTCATTAATTCCATGCAGTTATACAAGAGAAGAAATTTGGTGGTGGAAGCGGTTCACACTGAAAGAATAAATTTGGCAAAGGGAGGGCTACGGGAAGGACAGAGGAAGGTAGCACAGCGCACAGGTGCAGGAAAAAGACGGGGGGGGGAAGGAGAGGGAGGGTGTGTGGTAGCTGTCTGTACATCATTTACTTGACTTCTACACTAAATATTAACATGTTGTGGCCTGAGAATGAAAATGTTTCACCTCTGCGCAGAACACTTGGGAAAAACGGATCCCCAAAATTTCCTTTAAATATAATTGCTCTTTTGTGAGACAGAACTTCAATCTATTACAATTTAGAAGAATCAGAAGCAGCATGATCTAGAACTCATCTCTATAAAAATCCAAAAGCCACAACCATGCCAATCTCAGACCACCATCTGCTGTGTATGCAATGCACACTACCGTCTAGTCTACTTACTATGTACACAGTAAATAGACATGATATTATAATACACCACAGGAAGGGGAAATCATACACAAGCACAATCCGATCCAACTTTCATTGTAAGATCTTCAATGGAAATCAGAGTGTCAGCCCCAAGGGTTCTTCGTATTATACACACGAAAATCACTGTACACCTTACAGCTTCACCACTGTTTGTTCGGCTACAGCAAGCTGGCATCTACGTCCAACCTCACCGACCACTGCAGCAACATATATAGTGAGGAAAACCCTGTCTGCACACACGGCAGGCTCACTTGTACATTATTCCTGCACATATTTTAAGCACATCCACTTGCACTTTATTCCTGCCCACACTGTAAGCATATCCCCTTGAACAGTATTCAATACAATAATCCGCAGGCAGAAGGTAAGAAGAAATAGCTCCGATGACACTGTCAAGTTCTTAAAATCTTCTTTACGTTAAGAATGTCTGTCCAGCAAAAATTGCTTGTGAGGTGACTACTTCCCAACTGGAAAGGGTAGCCTTCTGAGGTCACTACAAATACACACGAGTACACAACGTGTGTGTGAGAGCAACCAAAGACACAGGACTTCCCAACAGTGTTGCACATTTTCCGCGCGACAGGCAACACAACGTTTCTGTAAGCGAGGCTCTCTGTTGACCAGACAAAGGTGCAGAGACACTAATACCATGAAACAAGACAAGGGGGAGGTGGTTAAGTGTGTGACCGGCCCTGGGACTGGCCTCTGCGGAGGAGACGTTCGGTCACTTCTTCACACATCCATGGAACCAAATACAGATACCGGAAAGTACTTCACATGTGTCTGCCACTGTGACGACAGCTGAAAGAATTTCACACCAGTCCATTCGACACCGTCGACTAACACTGTGAAAAGAGAAAATAAAGCAGCATGCTACCATTATTGGGAGAAAAAAGAACAAAATGCAAAGAGTGAAATTTTTTACACAACATAATCTAAGAAATAAATACCTATCCCACTCTCTTTGTTCAAGAAGACAGTGAACTGAGTATATGAAAATGCCCAAATGGCTCAAGACATAGACTTAATTAAAGTGAAAAGAAGTAGATTGACAAGATAACCATCATTTTGAGCAGAGAAAATGAAGAGTGACAATCATAAACAACAGAGGGAAATTAGTAAATCTGACCTCCAACCACTTTCATCAAGATTAATGTTTTAAAAAAAAGTAGAAGTAAAACACACACATAGAAAAAATGTGCCCACCATCTACCCACAATGAGGAGACATGAGGCAAGAAAAATTCCCCAAAAAGAGAAACTCACCTCTCAGTTTGATGTTTTGGCTTTTTGAGGTACACACCATTCTGCTGACACCTTCGATTGCTTGACTCTTGGATTCTAAGTCTTTACCCTTTTTTCCAATTCTCATGACTGTAATACAAGGAAAAAAAACCCCCAATGAAAACCACAATAAGTACAACAGGACGCGACAAAGAATGAGAAAAAATTCACAGGCAATAAAAGTCAACACAACTACAAGCTCACTTCACTTGCTGTACATAGTTCGACAGGTCTCAGCATTCATTGTACATTTGATTGATTCGAACATTAGCATTACTGCTTATGTCTCCTTTGTATTTTGAAGTGCAAAAGAAGAGATAAGACATTTATTGATGCCTAAATTTGACTTTCTTCTTCACTTAAAAAAATAATAATCAGTTTTCATTGTATGAACAGTTAAGTTTGGAGGTCGGGCCCCTTAAATCTGTTTAGTTGCCTAAAAGGTGGGGGTCATTACAGACAGTAAATGTCCATAGCTGTACCCTCCTTCTCAGGGTCCACCACAAAGCCCATTTGCCTTAAGTTCCTGTTAAAATTTGATTTAGAGATCCATTGGGAAGGACAACATAGGCTGTTGAATCTTAAAATGCTCCTTAAATGACCTTTCAGTATATTTAGGGACATCAAACCCACTGTGATAAAAACAATAAATAGCACCTGTATAGCACATATCTGTACTCAACAGCAAACTCTATGCGCTTCATAATTATATCGTTACCCCAGCAGACCCTGAAATACTCAGAACGATTCTCGGCTTTCTGAGAAGTATACAGTGCAAGTAGCCGATTAAGCACTCAAACACTAACAAGCTGACATGATCTTCAACGTCTATAGTTGGGTATCCATTCCCACCTGGAGGAAGCGAGGAAAATTTGTGTCAAGTCCCTTTCCCAAGGACACAACGCTGGGCCCCTGACCTGATTTGAGCCCACTACCTTTTGGTCGCGAGCCCTACAGCCTAACCACTAGACCACCAACACCACAATACACCATAAAAAAATCATTCATTAGCAGTTCAGCCCAGAACCAAGACACTTACTTTTCTGCTTTTTCTCCTTGGTGACGACCATCATGGAAAACGTGGAGGACTGCACGCCGCCCGAGTGGGGGAGCCTGTTGGCATAGAGGGCCCTGAACGCCGACTTGAGGGAGCACTTGTTGGAATCTTTCTTCTCCTTCTTGTCCTTGTCCTTCTCTTTGTCCACGGCGTCCGACTTGGGGGGAGACATCACCCAGTAGTCCACCTGCAGGTCCATGAACTCAGCAGGGGAGGAGATGGAGGACAGGGCCGTGCCAGAGTTGCTGGGGAAACACATATGGAGGTCAGTGATTTCAGCTTTAGTTTTTGGTTGGGATTTTTGTGTGTGCGTGAGTGGAAAAAAACCAAACTTGCATACATTGTAGACAAAATAATACATCCATATATCATACACATACATTATACACATAATTATTATCTTTCACAATCAAGCATGTATATTAATATATTGTACAATATTCGGAGGATCTATGATGAAAATTATTAGGCTGTTTAAGTACAGGGCATATTTTAAAAAAAAAATTTGTTTTGTGACAGTCAGTTTCAGTTTTTAGTTTAACTCTTTATCTTCGAAGGACCTCCTTTTGGTGTAAAATCTAAAATTGGAATATGTCACTAAATTGGTAATTAAATCAATGCAAGTGAACCTATTTCAATAGTTCTTCTAATAAATGAAATCGCAGTAAAACGGATCAGTTTTCGGTAATTGCCGAAAAGTAATTTGACACCGAAGTCGTCATAAAGGAATGTGCCCGAGCTGCTGCCAGCTGCTCACCAGTACAGCTGTTCCGACCACGAGCCCCTGGGAGCAGCTTGCAGGAGAAAAAATTCTTATTTATAGTAGCATATCCCTGCCAAACAGAGGATCAAATGACTTCAACTACATAAAAACTTCCTAGGTCACTTAACTTATTCCACCTTGGACTACTCTCATTTCATCGGGATGAATAACATTGGTCAATACCCCTTCCTAATTGGGTGAACAGGGGGGAAAAGTAAAATATCTTTCCTCAGAGGCGATGTCCAGCTCATCAAATCTAAGAACCAAATCACCAGGTACTACATTAGCCCCCAGACAATAAATAAAAAGCCCAGAAGACCATAAAGAATTTTAGAACATCGTTTTGTTGTTGACTAATGGCTTGCCCTTCTTTTGGACACCCTTGATGTGCCAGAATCGCAGAGGAGATTTAGTAGATAGCAAAGAGCAGCGGCCATGACAGTTAATGACCTTGGACATCATATTCAGGGCTGAGAATGGCATACCACAAAAAAGGCTGAACTCTAGGGGGTCCGAGGGCATGCCCCATTGAACATTTTGAAAAAAAACCAGGCATAAAATAGCTAAATCTGGTTATTTTGTAAGGGTTTGAGGTCTTATTTGTTACCCTAATTTTATAGAAAAATAATAATAACTACCAAAATAAACTGTCAAAAAGAAAATATACCATTACTATACATTGTACATACATCATTCTTGAGATGAAAAAAAAAATTATTCACAGGGTTTACACATCTTTGAAAGCCAATGAAACGCAAACCCTTTGGTTAGAAAACACGGCTTACAAGGTATGGGTATGGCAGATCCCTATTCCACACAAGGCCTGCACCAACGCACGCTTTGCAGAGAGCTCTAGTAATAGTACTTTACTTTTATCCGTCGCTTACACCCTTTTGAGTGTCGCGGGAAGAAAGAGACGTCTCTCTGTCGCCAGCCGGAGAGCTTGGGTCAGGGGGATGCCGTGGGTGGTTAATGTTTCCCTGACTCCATCTATCCATGTCTTTCTCGGTCGCCCTCTAGCCTTGTTGCTATCAAATTTTTTTTATGTAGGCCCGTTGTGCTGGATGGTGTGTTGGTAATCGTAGGAGATGTCCCAACCATTTGATTCTTTGGTGTTGGATGTGATGCATGACATCATTTGTGCCCACCATTTCTCGCATTAGAGAGTTCCTAATTTTGTCTCGCCTGGACTTGTTTACTGATTTTCTAAGGCATCGTATTTCACATGTTGTAATTCTTTGCTCTAATGTTATGTTCGTGGTCCATGTTTGGCATTGATAGGTGAGTGTTGGGATGAATATGGTGTTGACCATTCTGAGTTTTGTTGTCATGGGGATGTTAGGATGTTTCAGCAGTGGAGTAAGCTGGTAACTAACATTATTGGCCTTTTGTACTCGTGTTTCAATTTCTCTGTTCAGTCGCCCATCCTCTGTGAACATACTTCCGAGGTACTTAAATTCCTAGCATGTGGTGAAAATGGAATAACTCTACTAATAGTAATAATCAAAATTCTAAATATACTCAAATTTGCTTCAAAGTTCAGTTTTTGTCATCCGGTGTTGTCTTCAACCCAACCCCATCCTTCCCCAGACTGTATCTTTTTGAAAAAAATCAATAATCCCCCTCCCCCCCCCCATTTCCTGAGTCCTATACTTCGCAGCCCTCAGACTTTGAATGAACTTTGGTGACCCCAACCATTGCCAATACTCACAATGTGATGCAAAGGCACAGGTTCACTGACCGGTCACGATGGCGAGCCCAACAAGATGCTTGTTTAACTTTCTTTTCTTTCTTTTTGTTTCCGCAAGTGACAGTACAGGACAAATATTGATTTATGTTCATGGCGACACAGCGTTTGTAATGCACAACCTGCATGTTACGAATGTTGCGTTAATCAGACTGCCACCGGCAAATTTCTAGGTGGTAACGAAAGCGAAAGTAGATCGAGCTTCGGTATCATATATAGACTTCTGCTTGCCGCGATAGCCGCCTGTTCGCGAGAAAAGTACTCTTTTCGGAAAAACCGAATGAATATCACAATCGCGACCGGCAAAAATGAACCCAAGGTCGGCAAGGAGGTTATTTGATTTGGTTGTCAAATGTTTGAGAACTTTTATGTATTTTCCCACGGCAATTTACAGATTTCCTCAAATTCCCGGGTATCGGTGATTTTTTTCAAATTCCCAGGGCCCCCTGGGTCTGGCAGTCACCCTAGGTACTCGACTGTACCAGTAATGAAGTAGAATAAAAAGTACTCAATTGAATGGCATCGGCTGACACACGGATGCGCAGGCACCTCAGCTTCGTCCAGCGAGCAGTACTTCATAAATTATTGTCTTTTGTTCAATACGTTTTTTTATTCTTACTACAATATTATTATAATACGAAACTCCGAAAAAAGGCGGAAGAGGCGTACGGATGAGCGGACGGCCGTATTGCAATGAGCGGAATTCCGCCTTTAGGAGGACAATTCTCAGCCCTGATATTTTAAGATCAATTGTGGGGCGTGCTGACAAAATGAGTTACTTCTCGCAATCCAAGAATGGAGATATCTGCCGAAAATCAACACTGTCGCCAAGATTTATAGATTTTCAATTGATGCCATTTCATACTTATAAATTGTACAAACTCAACCCATAAATTTAACATACCAATTTCCACAGGGCTAAAATCCGATAAGTAACTCATTTTGTCAGCATGCCTCACAATTTCATTCTTCCATTAATTTAAATAGTCTGTTAGTCTGTAAACGGCATCCGGGACAACCTCCTTGCCAACGAGTACAGAGACAAGGCAACAAGGAAAAAGACCTCACCTGGTTGGAGGCGACATGGTGGCTCCTATGTTGGGGGAGCTGGGAGGGGTGTGTCCTTCTTTTGTCTTCTCAAGGATTGGAGTGGACGCTGGCGGGGAGCTGGACAACAATACTGGAGGAAGACTGTCTTCAATTTCCACTGCAGGTAAAAAAAAAAAACATATCTGGACTTAATAATTCTTCTAATTAATTTGTTAGTTTTCTTTTTTTAATGGAGGAATATGTACAGTCGAACCTGCCCTGACGGTCACCTCTATAAGACGGCCACCTGTACAAACGGCCACTTTCCATTTCCCCCCTTGCCTTTTTTCTATATAATTTAACTGTGTAAAACAGGCACCATACTTTAACACACAACCCCTATCACACTGAGCAATAACACCTGTCTTAGACGGCCACCTTAGTGACTCCATTACGTTTTGTCATAATCCAATCACTTATCGTTGTTGTCAGGTAGTCCCTCCAACCGATCATGTTGCATAGGCCCCTCCCACTATTGACCAATAGGTACCGATTTTCAGCTGTTGGTTAGGTAAGCATGTGATCCCTCATATTCCATAAGCCCCACCCAGAACTCATACACAAATCATACGTGAGATGAGTGGTCACTGTTTCCCAGTCTGTAACAAAGTAACAAAGGATGTCAACATGAACTTGGCGACAGAAGCGTCGCTCGTTCTCCCGAGTGGTGGCGACCCATGTGTTCGTTTTAACATGGCACTCAGTCTTCCTCGTCTGATACATTTCGTTTTATTGTCACCCTTGCGCAAAATCAGCAACAAAATAAAAATAACAAACAAAATACAAACCAACAACAACAAAAACAACAACAACAAAAACAACAACAATGCGGCTACTTTCGATTGGGACTTCAGATGGGAATGGTTTGTTTTCTTCATCTTGATCAGTCCTGCCTAAGACGGCCACCTGTCTTATACGGCCACTTTTCTCCTTGACAATGGGTGGCCGTCTTACACAGGTTTGACTGTATTTATACCTCATGTTCATTTGTGGCTCCTGAAGGAAGACTGTTTGTATGTAAAAAAAAACAAAAAACAAAAACAACTACATACAAAAAAACAGTTCTGTGTACTAATACGTCAACTGCAAAAATGATGGAAACGTTTTATGACACTTCACTAGGATTCAATCCTTCATTTAAGGAGTGGGATGTCTATATCCTGCAGATCAAGACCAGCCGAGACCATGTGGGACACATCCATGTAGATAGACAGAGACGCTTAACACAATACCACATCCCAAAGAGATAACTGAACTTACGTCTCTTGCTCGAAAGGCAGAAAACCTAAACATTACACCACAGACGTTGACTACCTCTACCTTTTCTTTTTTACTTGGATGCAATGCTTGTGATTAAACATCTAATCAGAAAAGTGATAATACGAAATACTAACATGCCAGATAAAACTTAAAGCTTAAAAAACACACACACACACTCAAACAAATAAACATTAGCAGGGTGTGCTCCTTCCAAATTACTAACAAAAAATCAATGTAAATTGCCTCCAACTGGATTAGAGTTTTTGCAATAGT